CAAAAAACGAGTATCGGATTTTATCAGCCTGCTTAAAAAATGTCCGATATAAGCGCTCCGATATTAGCAGTTCAATCCAGCAGTCCACTGACTCCGCTCCAGTGTTTCTATCCAGCAGCGCTTGGATCCAGTATGCAGCGCTCACGTGATCACAACAACATGCTACGCTAACAAGTTAGCAAGAATGTCGGCAGAACTTTCTATTTTCATCAGAAACAGAGTTGAAGCTAAGTGCAAAGTTGTCATGTGCAAGTTTTCAGAGGGGGAACAGAACCGTGAACGTTTTAAACCGGAGCGACAACTACTCTCCACCCTGGCAGCAGCTTTGCGTTTCGGCTCGGTTCAGCCTCGGTCCAGTGACCGCACACAGCTGCGCTGTTTCATTACCTCCTCTCTGGTCCGGTCGGTGGTTCTAAACTGGCAGAAGCGAGGACAGCACACTTAAGGGATCGACACACGGGGAGCGACAAACTACAGCGATTAACGGCTGTCATCGCAGCCAGGGTGAAACCCGACACACGGGACGCAATAGCGATCACAGCGTGGCGAATCGCGCTCTCAGGTCGCTTGTCTTCACGAAATTTGATTGGTTCTTGACTCTGAAGGCGGGTGTGCATTACGGACGTGTAAACTAAACAAATCTTGCGATGCTAATGATATTGAAAAACAAACACACATCAAGATACAGTTTTATGAGGAAAAATTTACCATAAACTTCACCCTGGTGCCAATAAATTCCCACAAAGCTTTTTAGTAATCACTTGGTGAAAGTGTTAGCTAACGGCAGTGTGTGGCATACTCTCCTCTCATTGGTCAGTCAATGAAACCCTCGCTGATTGGTTGTACGCTAAGCGACAGCAACAAAAGTTGAACATTTTTCAACTTTCATATGTTGCGTCGCAAGCTCGTGTGTGCACGTCTACGTGTACGAGCGCGAAATTTCACACGCACTATTTTCGCCGGTCGCTTAGCTGGAGGAGGGCAAGCGATTGTCGCCTCACCGCACAGGCTCCATAGGAAGTGAATGGAGAGCGAGTGACGTCGCCTCCCGTGTGTCGAGCCCTTTACAGTTTTGACATCCCGTGGATTAGCTCTGGGTCGATGGACAGAAGAAAGGAGAGCGCAGCTTTTGTTTTGAAACATGAGCCCTGATGTTTAATCTGTTTACACACTTGTTTGAGTGAAGATTAAGTGCAATGATCACGTTGTTTTAGTTACAGTCAGTAAAATTGGAGCTGTGGACTCTTAACTTTGAACAGACAATAATGTGGGCTTTTGTTTTGTCCCCACCTTCAGTTTTTTCCACCATAAAGCAGCACCAGGCTGACAGGTAGTAAAACAATAACCGAAGTGATTTTGAATTGTTATTTTATACTTTAAAAGAACAGTTTGTTTTTATTATGTTTTATTTTTCAGGGTATTATAATTTATTATATTAAATTGTAGAATGTTCTTCAGTTTAAAACGTATGTCATCCACTGGTTAAAAATAAATAGGTCAGTTTTTCTCATACCTACTCTTTTTCACTGTTTGACCTGATCAAGACTTTTCTAAGATTTGATTACAAATTAAGTAAAAGTGTGTGACTTGTACTGTTATGGTAACGGGTCAATATTGGTATTGGACAATTCTCATAGTTGTAACATCGGTATCGTATCGGAAGTGAAAAAGTGGTATCGGGACATCCCTACTTTAAATGTCTGCTTCTTGGTAGCTAAAACAGTCAGTCTCTGAGTAGGTTTTTTTTAAGTGAGTGGTTCAAGCAAAACGCAGCATCACTTTCAGCATAAACAAACACTCGCACAAACTTCTGACCAATCACACAAGTGATAAGCAAATAATGCAAAGTAAGCAAAGTAAGCAAAACAGCATTAGCAGCAATAGCCGTGTTAGCAGCATTAGCAGCAATAGCCGTGTTAGCAGCGTTAGCAGCAATAGCAGTATTAGCAGCAATATCTGAGGTAGCAGCAATAGCATCGTTAGCAAAATTAGCAGTGTTAGCAGCATTAGCAGCAATAACAGCATTAGCAGCAATAGCCGTGTTAGCAGTGTTAGCAGTAAAGCCGTGTTAGCAGTGTTAGCAGCAATAGCAGCAACAGCCGTGTTAGCAGCAATAGTAGCATTAGCAGCAATGTCCGAGTTAGCAGCAATAGCATCGTTAGCAGAATTAGCAGTGTTAGCAGCATTAGCAGCAATAACAGCATTAGCAGCCGTAGATGTGTTAGCAGCGTTAGCAGCAATAGCAGCAATAGCAGCGTTAGCAGCGTTAGCAGGAATTTGTTTCTTGGTGATGACAGCAAGAGAAGCGCACCAACAGAAAAGACTGTTCTGTAAGTTTTTAATGTAAGCTTTAACATTTAGATTTGGGATTTAACTTTTAGGCACAATATTTAACATTTAAATTAAATGTAAGAACAGTGAGCTGAATATTAAAAATGTTAAACATTTTTTAACTGGGATTATACACTCAAAGTGAGCTAAAAAACAAAAATAGTGACATTTTAACATTTTATTTTACACTTAGTGCTTCACGTGAAACAAGGTCATAAAATCTGTTGACCGGAGCTCATTTCTGTTTTTCTTTCTGTGTGTCGGAGCGGCTCGGCACAGATCCCTCATGATCTGGTGTTAGAGTCTGCAGATCTGAGCGGGCCTGAAGATGCTCTCTGTGTGTTTCTGCTCCCTGAACATGCTGCGAGCCTTTTCTCTCTGTGTGTGTTTGTGAAAACTAAAGATAAAAGAGAGCAGCCGTGTCTCGTGGAGCAGCAGCAGCTCAGCATCGGAGCTTGTTGAGTCTGATTACAAACCCGTCAAAAAAAAAAAAAAAACCAAAAAAAAAAAAAGGATCACATGAACAGAGAGTGACTAAGTGAACGCAAAAGAAGACAGATGGGAGAGAAATCTAACAACAAAAGACGCTCTGCGATTAAAAGTGTTTGAGAGAAAACTAAAGTGTGAGTGTCGTCGACAAGCGGAGACGAAGAGGAGGAGGAAGAGGCCAGGGGAGACAAAAGCCGCATTTATTCAGGGCTCTTATTGTGTTCCTGTCGCCTCATTCCTGTAATCAGATTTCTTTAACGTCGAGCTAATAATCAACCTGGTGTGTGTAATTATTTTATCAACTGAACAGTGGGATTATCACACAGAGCTACAACTACCAGACTAAAATAAACCCATTTAGACTTCTCTGAACGTCCAAGTTCTGTGTCCAAAATCAGCTTTTATTTATCCAAACACAAATTTTACAAATGATGGCTACAGCTGCTGCTTTAATCTAAAATAAATGTCATGTTTGACATTTGAAACCAATAAAAGGCCTCAGGAGCTGCAGAGGCTCCATCACAAAACCTCATAAATAAATCTGATCTGAAGTCCGCGAACAAACCAGAGAGAAGAGCTGCCAGAGCAGCGTTTAACTGAGTTTTACTTTTCTGCTCTTTCAAAACCACAGATTTAACCTTTTGCCTTTTTTTTCCCTCAGATTGCCTGTCAGCTGCAAAAATATATTGATGCCCAAACTTCCAAATATTTCTGCTTCGCTGCAGCCTGTGCTGTTTAAAAACACAGCTCTCAGTTTTTATTTTGTCACATAAGAGCAGCCGAAACATTAAATCGTCAGCTTTAACGCTACAAACAGAGCTTGAAGATGCTGAAAAACCTCTAGACTTAAAAAGCTTTGCTGAAAAAAACCCAACTAAACACGTTATTTTAATTTTAAAATATTAGCTTTAAAACCAGTAGTGGGCAGAGCTCCCCTAAAGCACTAATAAGGGAACTAATTTCTTGATTAGTGCTTTAGGGCTTTTGCTATTTTTTTAAATTCATTAGTGGATTAGCATTTGCTAATTTTATGGGCTAAATTTAGAAGCACTAACTGAGGTCTTTAACTGTTATTGATCAACATTATATGTGTGTCACTTATCTAGAAGGTCACGTGTCAAACTCAAGGCCCACGGGCCAAATGTGGCTTGCAGGTGACTCCCATTTGGCCCACCAAGGGCACTAAGTGACAACATTCTGCACACAGTAAATATTGTCTCATGTCGACTGAACAATGTTCCATGTGTCAACTGGATTATATTAGTGCTTTAGAATTAGCTTTTGCTAAATTTTTCCGTGCGTTAGTGCTTTAGAATTAGGGGACCTAAATAGATGAGTTAGTGCTTTAGGGTTAGTGCAACTAATATTTAAATGAGTGCTGCCCACCACCGTTTAAAATCTAATAAGCCAGATTTTTGATACAAAAATTATTTGTTGCCCAAATTCCAACGTAGCTTAAAGTTCCTGCTGCAAAGTTTAAACCCAAACATTAAAAAGTCTGATCAGAACAATATCAAACAGCAGCCTGAACGTGTCGACTCATGTTGTTTTACTGACGACTCTGAAATGCAGGTCCGCGCTCAGCGTAAACAAAAACTACAAAGCTTGAGTCGTGACTGATCTACTTTTGGCGGTAAACAAATACGCAAATCAAATGAGAATAACAGTAAATATGTTTGCAGAGGCAGAAATGGATGCAGGGAATGAAAAAGATCATGAAAGAAGAAGAGGTTCGTTTGACACAAACAGCTCGTTGTCGAGAAGAACCTGCTGCTGGAGAATGTAGACAGACACCTGAAAACAGAAAGAAGCAAAGAGATTCAGCTGGAGAGGAGGAGGAGGAGGAGGAGGAGGAAGAGCTAAAGCAGAGGGGAGGGGATGAAGGAGGCGAGGGAGGACCAGAGCGAGGAGAGTCAGAGTGGCAGCAGACAACAGCGGCGTGCAGAGCTCAGAATGCAGCCTGCTGCTGACTGAAGCTGCTTGTTGGACTGGACACACACACACACACGTGCACGGACACACACACGGAAACACACACACACACCTCTGAGGAGTGGATGAGGCATGCACAGGCTGCTGCCCATGGACACACACACACTGGCGGGGCACCAGAGAGGATTTACAGCGAACCCTGGAGCTTGAGGAGCCATGGAGAGCAGCATGTTCTTCGGTGAGTCTGTTCCCATCTTCTCCAGGTTCTGCTAAATGTTCTGGGTCCAAACGGAGCCGAGCTGCGGAACAACTGGTCTCCATTAAAAGGAAGAGAGCGTGAAGTTGGACGGGCTCGTTCTGCCTCTGGTCGTGTGTGCTCACTGAACCTGATTTATCAAATCCAAACGCTTCCTGTGTGTCCCCCCTGGTTCCACATGGAAACCTGAACCAGATGAGCTCGCCTCAGAAACTATGGAGTGATGCAAGAGAGGCTTCCTGAGGGGCTGAACCTGCTGCTCAGGTCAAATCCTACCTTATTTGCATATACAAATACACAAAACTCTGTTTTTACCAATATCCAATTTATGATATCAAATATTGAATATCGGTATTAAATATCACGATATCAATATATATCGTATTTTCAGTATCGTTGTTGTTTAATCTGACAGACATTTAAAGCAAATTGATGTAAAATGTTAACATCCAGTGTTTGGTAATGAACAATAACACCTGATTAATATTGATTATTGATACTTAATACCAAATATCGGTATCAGATAATATATCGATATATCGTTTTATCAGTATTGATGTTGTTTATTCTGAAAGCCACTTAATGTAACATGATATAAAATATTTAAATCAAATGTTTGATAATGAATAACAATATTTATTAACTAACACTGAATATAGATAATATCAAATATCGATCAGATATGATATTAATATATATCGTATTATCAGTATCTGTGTTGTTTAGTTTGACAGACATTTAATGCATGTATGGTAATGAATAATATCTTATATCTAACATTGAATATTGATACTTAATCTCAAATATCGGTATCAGATAATATATCGATATATCATATTATCAGTATCAGAGTTGTTTATTGTGGCAGCCAGTTGATGTAACATGAAATAAATATTTAAATATCAGAATCTAAGATGATATCAAATATGGAATATAGTTTGATGTATATTATATCTATTGTTTTATATTATATCAAACATCAGTACTGAATAATATGATAGACATCGTCTTATATTGAATATCAGTATTGAATATCGTGATACATATTTTTCATTATACATCACTGTGGTTTATTTTTATTCATTTAATGTAACTTGATATCAATTACTACCAGCTAATTTTTGAAAAGGAATAGTAATATCTAATATTTTACACTGAATATTGATACTCAACATCAAATATTAGATTTTGACATCTAATATCAAATATTTAAAAATGTAAGATGGTTAAATCTGGAGATTTGATATGACTGGCAGATATAATCTGACATTAGTTGTTGAACGCGTAATATTTAATTTTTAATGTCAGATATCATCACTGATGATATGATTTATTATCAAATATTGATAATATCAAATATTAGTGATATTTGATAGACAATTTTTCAATCATCAGCTGAAGATAGCTCAGATTAAACATAATCTGTGGTGAATTTGATGTCCCTTGGGAGGAAATTTACCTAAACAATTTATAAATCTCAGCAGATTAAGTTAAGATGAAGCGATCTGAGCTGAAACCTTGAATTTGGATCTTGTCTTCCTGCCGGTGGTGACATTTTAAAACATCTATCCTCAGATTGTGATTCATGATCATCTCTAACAGCTGTCTTCTGGAGGCTCTGAACGCCACTTGATATTCTGCGGCCCGGTTCTGTAAAGGCCGGTTCCATTAGTTCATATGGATCCGACTGAAGGAGGCTTTGAAGGACTTAATGCAGCTTCCAGTCAAGTGCTCTTCTCACAGCTGACTTCCACTGGAGGAATAATTACTCCGGGATCCGGACTTCTATGGCGGGTGCTTTGTTAAATGAAAGACTCTATTTTTGTTTAATCCACGGGGATTAAAGCGATCTGAAGTTACAGACCGTGGCATGTAAGAGCGAGGAGGATTTTCTCTTCTTGTTGCTGAACACAGAGGAGGAGAAGCTCACGAGTGAAAAAAAAGCTTTGTCTCTTTGCTCAGGTGTGAAACTGCTGCAAGGCAGAAAATAAAAACCGAAGGTGGTTGGTTTCTATTCTGTTCGGGTGGTTCTGATCCGTTTTAATCCAACGGGATGAGCGTTGAAAGTGGGAAAACTCTCTCCTCTCTTCTCATACTTGTTTTCTCTTTTTGCCAGATCTCATCTCGGCCGCTCGGTGTAAAACAAACCAAAACAAAGGGACGGGATAGGTCATCGTGTGGAAGTGTGTCGTTTTAGCATTTATGAATGCAGTCCTGAGTGCGCCGCGGGGGGAAAAATAGATGCTATCTCCTAAAAGATTAATAACGCTGTTTGTTCAGCAGCTCCGCTCCGCTGCTGTTTAAAAGGTTTCTGTTGGAGTGATTTATAGTCTGCAACATTTTCGACCCCTGACCTCCTCTGAAAGGGGATGCCAGAAATTGTAGAAAATGGAAAACAGATCACAGAAACTTTGACTGGTCGTGCATCGGGAGGCAGTAAATAAACTGAAGGACAGCAGGTTAATAGATGTTAAGTGTGTCCTGGAAGCTATCAGCTGAGTCAAGTCCTGCAGGAAATCAGTCCAACACTTTTCTCCTTCATAGGTTTTAAATCTTTTCTTGCTTTAGGAAAGAAGTGGGAACTGATTGAAGCAGACCAGGCCTAGTTAAAAATATTGTGATTTAGCTCACCGTTCTTACATTTTGCTAATTTTGATTGTTAAATCCTAAACGTAAATGTTGTAGCGAAGTGTCAGTTTACAATCAAGAATTTCGGAATGGAAAGCAGCCTTTGCTGTTGGTGCTCGGCCACTGTTATGAGGTCATCATTCTGAGACACAAACAAATGCTAATTTTGCTAACGCTGCTAATGCTTCTAATGCTGTTTACACTGCCTATCCTGTTTGTACAGCAGACGTTGCTAAGGCTGTAAACATTGCTAGCACTGCTAATGCTTCTAACGGTGATAATGTTGCTAACGCTGCTAATGTTTCTAATGCTGCAAACCTTGCTTACGCTGCAAACATTGCTAATGCTGCAAAAGTTGCTAACGCTGCAAACGTTGCTAATGCTGCAAACGTTGCTAATGCTGCAAACATTGCTAACGCTGCAAACGTTGCTAATGCTGCAAACATTGCTAATGCTGCAAACGTTGCTAACGCTGCAAACGTTGCTAACGCTGCAAACATTGCTAATGCTGAAAACGCTGCTAATGCTGCAAACATTGCTAATGCTACATTGCAAATGTCGCTAACGCTGCTAATGTTGCTAATGCTGCAAACGTTACTAATGCTGCTAATGCTTCTAATGCTGCAAACCTTGCTTACGCTGCAAACATAGCTAATGCTGCAAACGTTGCTAATGCTACATTGCAAATGTCGCTAACGCTGCTAATGTTGCTAACGCTGCAAACGTTACTAATGCTGCTAATGCTTCTAATGCTGCAAACGTTGCTAACGCTGCAAACATAGCTATTGCTGCAAACGTTGCTAATGCTGCAGACGTTGCTAATGCTGCAAACGTTGCTAACGCTGCAAACGTTGCTAACGCTGCAAACGTTGCTAACGCTGCAAACATTGCTAATGCTGAAAACGCTGCTAACGCTGCAAACGTTGCTAATGCTACATTGCAAATGTCGCTAACGCTGCTAATGTTGCTAACGCTGCAAACTTTACTAATGCTGCTAATGCGTTTAACATTGATAATGCTGCTAATGTTACTAATGCATCAAATGTTGCTAATGCTGCAAAGACTGCTAACCCTGTATATGCTGCTAATGTTGCTAAGGCTGCTAATCCTAACACTAATAGTGCTGCTATTGTTACTAATGCAGCGAATGTTGCTAACACTGAAACAATGCTAACCCTGCTAAAGCTGCTAACATTGATAATGCTGCTATAAATACTAATGCTGTTATGAATGCTAATGTTGCCAACGCTTCCACACAAGACATCAAACTTTGTTACAACTGTGTCCAAGCTGCACTTCAAACTGCTGTTTGCACTGAACACATTTTGAATTTAGATTTTAAATGCCATCTTCAGCAGCTTTAGTAACATTAGTACTTGCTTTAGTCTCAGGATGATGACGTCTAGCACTGCTAACTCTACTGCTAACAATAAAATGTATGTTTCTTTTAACTAAGATTTAAGACAAAGTGAGCTAAATACTGTAAATGTGTTAGTAACATTTCGATTAACATTTTATTTTGCACCTCATACAGATCTGCATGACGGCACAGAGCCTTTGTGTGAAAGAGACAGAGGCAGTTTGTGTTTTAAAAAAGAAAAAGCCAAGTTCTCTTGTAAAGGTTAATTGGAAAATGAGTAAAAGTGTAGCTTTCAGAATGTTTTAACTCCACCCTTTGTTGGTTTTAATAGGGGTGAAATGATTTTATCCCCCTGCTTGAAGGGAAGTGCTGATCTCTCATCATGTTAAGGGTCAGCGAACACAATCAGCGAAACACAGGAAGCGTTAATCACATCTGGAACGTCACGCGCATACCAACGAGCTGCCGCTAAATTCAGATTTATCTAATAATTGGATTTGTATTTGCTGAAGGGAGATGGATGTGCTGCGAGAAAGCATTCTTTTTATTATGAGCTTCTTCTGCTCGAGCGGACTCTCAGACTCTCCAGACAGATGTTATCCAAAGAGCCGCCAGGTTCAGGACGGCACGAGAAGGAGGAGGAGAGCGAGCTCAAATGATTAATTATTAATGCCAGTCAGCGTCCTCCAGACATCACTTTTACTCTCCTGCTCTCTCAACGTACCGCCGCAGGAGGAAACCCAGAATCCTTCAGGAAGGGCATCAGAAAGGACGGCGGGACGGTGTGAGTCTGAGGTGGCCTAGAAAACATCCTGTCCAGGTCAGCTGTTTGTGACGCATCGTTAAACGTCTCAGAGAGGAAGAGGAGCCAAAGGCCAGCAGAGGAGCAGCTTTCACGTCTCAGAGTCTCAAACGGTGGAAGTGTGTCGGCTCGTTTCTGCTTAATTTGATTCATTAGAGTTTGGTTTTAATAAAACAGACCCTGAAGCCGGATGAAGGAGTCAGAGCCGCGTGATGTTTACACAGAACTGCTCTGCCTGCGAGTTCTGACTCAATCTGGGAGACGTAATTGAAAAATTCACCTTCCTTACAGTTTGATTCTCATCTCCTCCGCCTCCTGAGGGAAATACGACTCTTTGTCTTCACGTAATGACGGTTTGCTTTTGGAAAGGGGATTGTCTGGGTTTGTTTTTTTATGCAAAAACACAGCTGAGGTTGTTAGCTGTCATGTCAAATAATGTGTTTAAAGGGATTTCAGACTAGCTGCTGTTGGTCT